ATCATCGATTGCTGAGACACTGATGCAATGCTACATTTCTACAAACCTGATGAAGAAACAAACTCATCTACATCATTTAGTTTGAACTATTCCTTTGATTTGACATTTAAAAGCCTGAGCTCAAACTCTAGACATGTGATTTGTGAGGTCTGATGTGTGTGTGTGTGTGTGTGTGTGTGTGTGTGTGTGTGTCTCTGAAGGCGTACGAGCTCTCCACGCTCACGGGAACTCAGGTCCTGCTGCTGGTGGCCAGCGAGACGGGGCACGTCTACACGTTCGCCACGCGTAAGCTGCAGCCCATGATCACCAGCGAGACGGGCAAAGCTCTGATCCAAACCTGCCTGAACTCCCCGGACTCTCCGCCGCGCTCCGACCCGTCCACGGACCAGCGCATGAGCGCCACGGGCTTCGAGGAGACCGACCTCACATACCAGGTGTCCGAATCTGAGAGTCTGGGAGAAACCAAGGTGAGTCTGCGGCTCTTCGTTCAGAATTGAGATGTTCTGCTGGGCCTCGTCTTTCAAGTGGTTGCCGAGCAACAGACAAACGTAAACAAAGGTGTATGTTACTTTGTAGAGTCATTTACAACAGCTTCGAACGCGGCTCAGCCAATCAGAATCAACTATCCATTTTATAAGAATCTATGAATCACAAAGACTCTCGAGTCGGTCCAAAATCTACACGCTGAAGAGTTATTGTTGCCATATTGAAGCGCTCCAGTATTTAATTCCTCCCGTCTGCGGCGCGTGTTTGTTCTTCTGATCTGCCTCTTCTCCAGACGGTCCGTCTGCGTCTTTACCGTGTTTACTAGAGTGATTCACATCTGCACTCCTCGCTCGTCCTCCAGCAGATAGTGAGTATAAATAGTGCTGCACCGGTTATGACCTTCTCTTTGGAGTCTGTTGATGTGATCCGGTCAGAAATGAATCACTTGTAAATGACGGTGCTTCAGCGAGAGCTCTTAGAGACGTTCAGCTGCAGCGTTTCTCCAGTCAAACACAGAGCTTCAGCGCCGTCTGGAAACCAAACAGCTCATGCTTACTTGTTGCTCTCGGTCTGGATGAAGTATTGATCTCACTGAGTGTTTGTTCTGATTCAGCTCATCAGAATGCATGTCAGATCTCATGCTGTGTTTGTAAATAGAAGCAGTTTAATAGGTTTATTCAGCTGTGATTGGGATTGGCATCACATATATTGTATGAATATATATCAGGTTTATTAGAGTTAAATTAAAACCATTAAAAACTTTTTTGTTACTTGAAATAAAATAAATAATAGCTGAAATAGAAATAGAAAATAATTAAAACTATATAGACATAAACATAAAACACAACAAAATTACTGAAACTTTAACAAAATTAAAAGAAAACCATTAATAAATTAATATATTATTATTATTATTATTATTATTATTATTATTATCATATGTAAATTATTGTATTTATTTATCTATTTATATAATTAATACTGTCGGTAGACAATTATTATCATCTTAATAATAAATAATTTTTGGCAATAATGTCTGAGCCTGAGGAAACCTGTCTGGAAACACTCATTATTTTACAGAGAAATGGCCCACGGCAGATTTAACACATGAGCTCATAATATTAACGACGGCTGTTGTTCTGTGAAAGGCGTGTGGGGTTTATTGAGTGTGAATGATGAACAGATGCAGTCGGTCCGCGGCAGCACCTGTCCTGTCCTGAGATCCGGCGCAAGCGGGACAGAGCTCAGGCTCAGTGGAGCAAACACGCTCCTCTCATTGATAAAAGCAGTGTGTGAGTGTGAGTGTAGTGATGTGATTTGAAAAGTGAACGAATCAGTCTTGAAATTGCACTCTTGCATTAGACAAAATCACTTGCAGTGCAGCCTCTCGTGTTTTGAGGAATATTAGATATATGAAGTTAATAAACAGGATGTTTTTGGACTCTTGTAATTTAACTTCCAGAGTTTGGGGTGGGAGAAGAGGGAAACCTGTTTGGAAACACTCATCATTATAAAGAGAAATGACCTACGGGTTTAACATGTTTAACTTGTTACGTGTGAGTGAGAGTGTGAGTGTGAGTGTGTGTGTGAGTGTGAGTGTGAGTGTGAGTGTGAGTGTGTGTGTGTGTGAATGAAGTCTCATTAGTCTTCCTACGATGTAAAGCATCTCTAAACTCGTTCCCTCGACTCATTCATCACTCGTGACAGCCAGAAAA